ACCAAATAAACCAAAATTCAAGATTTTCATCGCAAAATCAATAAACTTGTCTTTAATGTAACTATCCAAAATCTAATTTTTGAAGCTTGAAATAAATAGAGCAAGCATAATTTCGAGTTTTCAAAATGCAAACTATAAATAAAAGTAAATGCCGAAGGATTAAAAATACGCTTTAAACCATCTTAAATTCAAAAATGTTTTCATAAATTTTAAAAGATTTATTTTTAAAAAAATAATAAAAATCATGAACATTTTAAAAGGAAGCATGAACCGATCTTTCAATAATTTTTTCCAAATGAATGAGCATCATATGCATATTAGAGGCTGAATGATTAATTCATATGTTTATGAGCGAAGTATACACATGTATGCACATCCCTTTGATGTTGAAAGGAAAACCTTTATGTAACAATTTGACCAGTATTGAATGATAAAGATTTAAAAGGGACTCGGGGAACGGAAAACTTGTCATGTGTAAATTTCATAATAAATTAGTGAGATGTGAACATTCCTTTATGTACATACGTTTGATAAATAAATAAACATGAGTGTTTAGAGTCCTTTCTACACTTCCAAAAATTTAAATCTGATTAATGAGTTGAAAATTTATTATTTTAATTTAAATAATTTGCAAAAATTTAAATTATATTAAATATATTATCAGCTGATAAAATTTTAATTGCCTGCAAATGTCATAAAATGCCTAAAGGCTTACAAAGCAATTTTACATCATTAAATCGAAATTTAATTTTAATGAACTGAATTTCAGCGACTAAAGTGACCATGAACTTGAAAATAAATTGAATTTTTCATTTAGTCCTATTGTTGATGTTTCTTAAATCAACAGCTAAGACAATACGTCAGTGAAAATCTAATTTTGCATGTTAAAAATAAGTTTTAATGAAATTTGAGAATTATTTTTAAAAATAACTAAAATGACTCTCTAGAAAGAAGGAACTTCATTCATATTGACCTTTCAAACCCTTACACCCACTCTAGTAATTTTCCTTATTCCTACCTTAACACATAAAATAGGCTAAATCGATTTATATTTGATTGAGATTAAAAATTTAATACTTGAGTGCATTAGACAAAAACTTTCATGCGATGACGTATCTAAACGACCTTTTAATTCCATGTATTTCCCTTTTAAAATACTTAAATAATACATCCTCAACACATTGTTAAATAGTAGTCTAAACTTGAAATAAACAACCCTGCTGACTAAATAAGATATTTTGAAGGTGTTGCCAGTCACAAAGTCATCAAAAACTCTACTTATTTGACTGAAATAAAAATTAAGAAAAATTCAAAATTCAGCGAATGTTTAAGCCATACAAATGCTTCGGGTGCCATAGCATCAAGTCCATCAACATGAAAATAGCGTTTTGTTCCTAAACGTGGGGTTATCAAGTCTAAAATTATTATAATAAAAACTTTAGTTGAAAATGTCATTCTTAATTCTTTTAAAAAGTTTATTTTACGAAATTTTGCAGTCTGACGTCTGTGTTTTTATTTATAAAATTTATTTCTGGAGAACTTATTAAGTTTATAAATAAAATTTCTCGAATTTTTCTAAAGGTTTGTTTTTTTAATTCAATTTTATGCAGCTGTAATTTGTAGCTTAAGGATTGGGTTTATAGTTTTATATAAATTAAGAATGATCTAGTCTCTTTAGACCTTACTATGATTTAAATATGAATATTTGATGTTGTATTTTTTAACAACTAATAGCACAAACATAAATCTTATTAATTATTATTTTGCTAAATTCAAGAATTGTTTGTAAAATAAAAAAAATTATAAATTCAAAAAATATGAAAATTTGTCTTTTAATTGAATATTAAAATATATTTGATATTGCACGCAGCATGTTGCTCATGTCATTTTCAAAAATTTCTATGGAACACAGTTTGCACAACATTGCTCTAAAGTCGAATTAGAAATTTTTCAAAAATGTGTCAGAGTATAAACAAAATATGAAGGAAAAATAATCAAAATATAAAAAAGGATAAATTATTGATATATTCTGAATTTTTGCTGTTTAAGCATATTACTTTTATATTTGGGTTTTTAAGTAAAATTCAAAAAATATCCTTTAAGGAGATTTAATATAAAAAATGGGGGGGATTTTAGAAAATCATCTTGCATTTTAGTGCAAAATTACAAAATTCGTAAGCCACAGTTGCTCCTTAATTATCCTACACAAATCTACAATTTACTATTGTTACCAAAAAATTTCCAAAAAACTTTTTCTTACTAAATCAATCTTAAATAATCATCTAGTAAAAGTCAATGAAACAAGTTTTAACAATGGATCAATTTAGCCACAACTCATGAAATAATTTAAGGGAGATAACAAACACTATATCAATTACATAAAACTTGACTGATGATTATTTTTTGTATTCTTCGTAGGCGATTATAACCTCTATGGAGCATAAAATAGAGAAAAAATAACGAGAAGCACAAAAAATGGGAAAAATAGAAGTGAAAAAAAGTTTGAGAGAATGAAAAGCCCACGCAGGATCAAAAGTTTTGCTTCTTCATTCATAAAAAAAGATTGTCAAGCTTGTGAGAGAAAAGAAGTCTTCAACCCCCTTTGGATAAAGATAGCAATGTCTTTCGATATCACATAACTAATTTAATTCATCGGGATGTATTTGTAGAATTGTTTTAAAAATAAATTTGAAACGTAAAAAAATTATGGATGTTTATAAGAGGTATATAAATAGCAAGTAGCGATAGGGGTCATTTTGACATTATGTAACATAAAATAAGTCCCTTGCAACTAAAAAAACTTTTATGAAAAGTTAAAAAACTATATTGGAGGCGTTCTGTGTGCGTTTTAAGATAGTCTACATCGAATTAGAACATTTTTAATTTAGTGTCCTTAAATATTAAGCATTTTAGATAAAAACAACTGTATATACAGTTTAGTTTGAGAAGTTTATATTTGCTAGATTTGTTAAAATCTAGTTAAAAAAATTAAGGATTCAATTTATTACTAATATTTATTGTTAAACTCAATTTTTTTTAATAGGTTGAATAAAATCTAGCTTTTTTTCTTGATTTCATCTAGCAATTTTCATATTTGAGACTTTCAAGGAAAGTGTGTGAATATCGACTCTATTCGTGTATAAATTGTAAATTCCTACAAACCAACGATCTCTTGATCAATGGGCAGAACTTAAAGATCATAAGAACTAAACCACTGAATTAAATTCTATATCCTAAATTAAGGAAAAATTGTTTATGATTCAAATGAAAGGCTGCGATGAACTTTTCCAATATTTATCTTAATAATTTAATTTTTTAACAGTCATTATGCACCAAAATACTAGATCACTATAGTAAGAAACACAAATTTCAGTTTACTGTACATCCAAACAACATCAAAATTGAGTAATCAAAAACCTGCGGATCAATCCATCAAACATTTCAATTAAGTTCATTTGGATAAATTAAAATAATTTTTTTGTAAGTCTAATTTTAAATTTTCTGCATAAATTCTCTCCCACAAAATTGAAAACATATCGTAGGAAATTGTAGCATAGAAACAAAAACTTTTTTTTTATTAATGATTGTCGAGTACAAAAATCGAAATTAGCATATTTTTGTTTTTCTCACTCTCTTTTTCTCTTACTCTCAACAGAGAAACAATAACAAGCACCACCAAGAAATTATTAAACCAAATTGGTTGTGTACACAAATTTATTTATGAAATATATACGGCCGTACAAAACGCCTACGTTGCAAACAAATTTATTTTAAACATTTTCATTCATACTTTTCGATTCCTATTTCTCATTCTCTCAAATCAACATACTCTACTGTCGTTGTTGGGCACCAAACGGTGTAATCGGAAAGAAAAGCTGAGAGTTGATTTTTTTATTTATTTGAGAGCATTTTTCCACCTTTTTTTCAATCTTGTTGTTGTACGTGTATGAAAATATGAAATACAATCGAAGCAAATTTTATTTGATGACGTCACTGTTGTAGAGTCTCTTAATCGTGAGTAGATGAGAATATTGTCATAAAATCGAGAGTAAAATTGAGAGCGAGAGAGTCGTTCGGAAAGAAGTCGGTTGAAGTCTTATTTTTTTCTTTTCTTTTCTTGTAGTTGCACACAATTTCAAATGATCTTTTTCCTTCCTTCACTCCAACAAGTATGAAACATTTTTAGCTACAATATTATTATATATATTTCTTGTGATTCGAGAGAAACTGAAATAATTTTTGTTTGTTTCTCCTCATTGAATGGAGTCCGCACATATAGTAGTCAAGTGAGCCTCGAGATAAATCAAGTATATCAATATCGCATACAGTTGAATGTTAACAGATATTTTATATTTTTCACCTTTTGTCGCTGTGAAAAGTGAATTTTTCCCGCGACGTCATAAACGATATATTTTTTTTTAATTATACATTTGAGATATACATACATGAAGTTTTTATAGTTAACACACTAAGAAAAAAAAATTATCTCTCTTGCGAGCGGGCGGAAAAATGTGTGATTTCTTCGATTTCAATTCAAAGTTCATTCTGATTTTCCAAACGAAGCAAGCAAGTGAGAGTGGCTTACAAAGTGCCACAAACATATGAAAAATTTTATTTTAATTTATTAATTTTCGACAATTTTTTTTATATATTTTTTTGCGAATCAATCGAATTTAAAAGTGCATAGAATCTTGTAGAAAAAAATAATAAATAGTGAATTAAAAAATTAAGTGTCAATGTGTCTTGAAAATGAATAAAAAAAAATTATTAAGTCTTAATGAAGTCTAATTAAATTTTATATGAACTACAAAAAAATGAGAACTTCCTGTGAAATTTTATAACGCGAGAGTTTTTATCATAAAAAATAAATTTTTTTTATACGCATAAGTCATTCGTCCATGTGATTAATCTACATATGTGTTTATGTTTATTGTTTCAAAATTTTTAAATGAGCATATGAGTGCATTGTTGTTACTAGAAGAAAATAATAAAATAAATAAATACAGTAGTTCAATTTGTGAATAAGGAAGAAATGAGCTTTCTTAATGATTAAGTGTACCGTGTCTAATAAATGGAGCTATTGTGCGGCCTTAATGTATTAATTATCGTATTAGAGGCTTTTGTGAACGTATCAAAAATTATAAAACATGCTCGCTATGCGTCGTGAAAGTGATAATAATATAACTAGTAGTAATAATCCATCACATAACTACACCGCCAGCTCTTTATCTGGCGAGAGTAATTTAACGCATTTGAATTATCCTCATCCCATCCACGGTTATAGTCCATCGAACTATAGTGGATATCAGTCAAGTATGTTTAAATTTAATCTTCACAAATCTACAACATTTTAATAATAAAAAAAATTGTTTACATCCCTCAAAGGTAACCGACCAAATCCAGCATTGATCTCATCATCTTCTCAAAATCAACTTGAAGAGTATGTAGATATTCTGCAAGTACAACAATTACTCCTTGAAAATTCAACTGCATCATCATCTTCTTCATCTACCGTTAATACTGCATCATATACATCACCTGCAAGTATTATAACGCCGTCATCTAGTAAAAATTTACAGCCTCGACCACGCGTTAACTTGCAAAAAGCTGCTGAATTTGCGCAAGTTCAAGGTATGATTCTGGGATAATTTAATGAAATAAAATTTCGGTCACATTATGAATTTAAAAATAATTTGCCTTCTCAAGTTTCCAAAATAAACTTTTAAGCTCCGCCCTTGTGTAAAGTATATCATACCGACGGTATTTCCTTCATCCGATTCTCAAAAAGTCTGTTAATGCCATGAAATGTTGACATAAACACGTGTTGGATGGGAACTGTAGAAATTTGATTCAGAATCATAAATATAAAAATTTGGAATGAATTTATCAGAAAAGCATGAATAAAATGTGCAAAATTGTAAATTTGTTTACAACTTGTTAGATCCAAGGCAAATAATATGAACGTAATGATATTTTTTGTGGAATTAAAGCGAGATTTAAAGCTTAGAATGTGTTAAAAAAGTCAAAAAATGAACTAAACATTCAGATGAAGAAATGTCAAATCTGAGATTTGATTCTGCACTACCGAGAAAACTTGAAGGAACCCTTAGAAATTTTGACTGATTTTGTATGAGTTCTTCACAATTGCTACTTTAAAAAAAAATATTCTTCAGAGTTATTGTTCATAAAATGGCAATAGAAAATCCTAATAGTTCCAACTGGCTTCCTTTAAAGTTCAAACATCACAAAAAATGATATTAACATTATTCCTAAGATTAGAATATTGCGTGACAATCAGACGAAATTCAAAATTGGACATAAAAAAAATGTTGAAATCTTATTCTTCACGTACATAAGAGTCTACGATGTGTTAGCTGTTTTGTTATCTGAATAAAAACTTTCTAAACTGTGTAATCAGATAGAAGCTGTTGACAAAAAAATTGCGAAATTAATCGCCAAGAAAAGACTGAGTTTCAAAGCATCTAAAATGTTCTCTCACTTTCTTAAAATTAATATATTTTCAAAATTTATATTTAGCTGATTGTTCTTCTTCCCGTCTTGTTTTCTGTATCATTAAAATCATATTTCTTTTTCTGCTAAAATTAAATATTATATAACATGAAAGACAATCTTTTTTTTTTCTTATAAAAACTATTTATAAATGCCACTTCTAATGTAAGCTTTCATCGTATATAAAAATATTAATTCCTTCATCGTCAAAGCATTGCTGTAAAACATTTCAATTAACAACTTATAATTTTCTTATCAAATGAATAAACTTGTCACTCGTCTCATTTCTGTTTCTCTCTTTTTTACTCATTCTGCTTGATATGAATCACAAGACTATATATTTTTTTAATTAAGGCATATTTTCTTCTCTCCATTCCGTTCAGTCAGCATATTTGTGTGCAAGAAAAAAATAAAGTTTTAAAATATACAAAAAAAAAGTTTGAGGAAGATTTCTTTTTTATTATTTGCTGTAATCTGGTCAGGAACAAGAAGAATTATATCAGGGATTATTTCATTAAATTAGTCAAGAATTGATCATTAATTTTGATACTTTATTATCGGATTAAAAATAGTTGCAATTCACAAAATTTCAGTTTCTACATAAATTCAGTCACATATTGACAGATATTCCAGCATGTCTTGTTCATTCCTATATGGACAATAATGATCTTTAAAAGGCTAAAAGTTAGACTTGAACACAAAAATTCATTTTGATATTTTACTGCTCATGATTTCTTCTAACATGAATTAGACAGCCTGTTTTTTGGAAATAATGAATGAAATTTATGGCTGCAACAGATGAATTTATTTACACCTGGAAACTTCATCATTGAGATTGAAATATCCGCACACATTAGTTTAATGTAAATAAATTTTTGGGACGATTAATGGAACATTTTAACTGATTGGAATATTTTGAATCATGTGATTTCTTTTTTGTTGAGTAAATGTAGAGAATCTCATTAGGAAATTCAATTCTTCGAATGTTTTGTGAATATAGTGAATATAGAAATGAATCCTAATCTCTTACAACTTAGTCAAAATATCATCAATGGTTTGTGAGCCTGCTCTGTGAAAAGTCCTTCAAGTCTTAAATATAAAAACGTATTTGATCATACTTAAAGTGGATTAGATCGCACCATTAACAAGACCTCCAGCTATTTTGAGTTCTCATTCTTTTAACTGTAGATTTTTAACGCATAGAATTTGCAGCTATTTATCTTAAAGTCTAAATAGCAAAAGTTTATTTTTGTTTTGGTTATGCTCGTTCTTTATAATATTTCATGTAAGCTGTTATTAAATGTTAAAAAGTTAAATATTTTGATAAAGGTTTATCAACAAATATGTTTTTGCTTCTTAAAAGGTTATGTTTTCAATTAAAAGTTACATTTATCTTCTTGTGACATTTACCCAATGTTTTGACTCTTCAGGTGTTTAATAAGAATTTGATACTTTGGAATAACATTTTTCCAATTGGATGTAGATTGCCGTCGTTTTATTAACATTTAAAGCTATTTATTGTGTTTCTATTTTAACCAATTCGAGCTTAAAACCTTAAAATATTTACAAAACTTATAATCATAGATGTTAAGTTAAAATTAGTACAACACTACAATAATAAAGAATATTAGAAGAAAACTTAAATTCAAAGAAAAGTGCATAAGGATCAATAATTTCGAAGAATCAATCAGTTTTTTAAAAAATATTTATTTGACTTTAAATTTACATCTAGAGTTCTAATTTCCTCATAAAAGATTAAGAAAGAATTGTCAACGTGTTTATTTTCACAATTTTTAATGAAGCTGTTTACAATTTTAAATCATCACTTGCTTATTCAGAATTTCAAAGGGATTCAAGCACTTCCTTAACTTCTAAGAAGACACGAGCCTTTATTATTTTCACAAAATTCATTTTTAAAAGAATCAAACAGACTGATAACATGAAACACTGTGAAACACTTTTAAGAATGTGACTTGTCGCTCCGATTTCCACTTAAGAAATTATTTGTAAAGCTTTTTGTGGAGCAACACAAATCGTCTACAACTTTTTATCGTAATTAAAACATGAATAAATAATAAAATTTACCATTCTGTTGATTACACTAATGCTATACTACGCACTTGTCATATGTTATCAAAGACTTGAGCATTTCTTATCCCGTATTTTGTTATTATATTCTTCACTCATTCCTTGCACTTATTACGAGCTGCCACATATGAAAATGCAACTAATAATACTTATGCATACATACGTTTCATCTGTACATCGCGACTAAATTAACATTTTTTGATTCCACTTTGCTGAAAATGTTGTTTTTTATTATAAAATAAATTAAATATGAATTTATTGCATCACATGTGACAAGTGGTTTTCTGCACTCAACATTTGCAATTATTTCAATTTTCTCTGGCAAGGCAATCTCGCTAAGATTTTTCACTATATACATATACGAGCGACATTAAGGTATGAAAAGAAAATAAGAAAAAAAAAGTCGTCCCGTGCGCGAGACACATGCATAATTATGGAATTTTGTTTCTCAATAAATTTTATTTACCTTTCAATACGAAGCGACACTCTTTCTGCCACTGAACTTTTTACGCCACTTAAAGAAGAAAAAAAAAGGCCTTTACATCATGAAGTATTCAATAAGAAAGTATATCAGACTCGCGCGCGACATCAGCCCCCTCAGATGGACTTGCTCTCTCACTTAGTCTCGTACGAGTCTTCTCTACGGAATAACAAACGCGCGAAAATAAAAAATTACGTATATATCAACTGTTTGGGCGTTGATCGGCCGATCGGCCACATGCTGACTATTACAATTGACATGATGGTGCAAGTGATACTACAAGACACTAGGAAATTATACCTCTCTTTTACTTTAATTGTTTTTTTTCCTCTTTTCGTTTAACAAAAATATTATGTGGATATGTTTTCTTAATGAGATGTGAAAACTGGCGCCTGGTCTCCAACTTACATACTTACTTACTGCTTGCATAGAGTGAAAATTTTGCCAATGGGAACATTTCGTATGTTCAATATAAATGCATGATTTATTTTACTCTAGAAATCATGAGTTCTTTCTATTCATTTATATACAAATATATGCATTCATTTGCGGGTGCCAACTATTTCCATCACATTTTAATTAAATGCATTTCCTTAAAAATGAAAATATTTCACAACATTTGAGTGTAATGCGGCACATTTGTTGGAAAATATGCTTTTAATTACTAAATCTATTTTGAAGTAAATTATTGCTGTTTTCTTTGAAGATTAGTATAATGACAATTGTTGACTGCGGCTTTAGTAACTCACTATAAATCATATTCGTTGTGAATATTTAAGAGTTTTGCTGTGATTTATAGCTTTGAAGTATTTTGAGGTAATACATATAGTGGAAATATCCTGCTGTAGATCGAAATGGACAAACAATATTGAATTAAGATAAATTTACAGGAAGATTGTCTAGGATAGTGTAAATTTTCCGTATTTAATGTCAGTGACGTTAACTCCTAGCCCCCTCCAAATTTTAATCTAAAGTCGATAATCGATTGGATTATAACATTTTAAATTGACTGTCGAGATAAGCTTTAACAATAGTAGATATCCTTATTGAGGTGTGGTTCGGATGACCGGATATTTTTTGAAAAAATAGAGGACCTGAAAGTAAAATAGAGGATGTCCCACGTGTTTACCAATTATATTCGTTTTCTGGGCGAATTAGAACAAAACAAATCTATTTTAGTTTTGAAAATAAAAAGATAGAAGACTGTCCTCTGAAAAACCAATCAAGTGGTCAGCCTAAGTATGGAACAAAACTACCCTGAAAAAAAATTGGTATGCCAATAATATAAATAATTTCAAAAATATATTAAATGTGAATAAAGCAATTTTACTAGACACAAATATTAAAATAAACCAAGTTAAGCTTTTTAGTCTAAAATTTTCTGAAAAATTTTTTTTTTGTTTGAATTTTGAAACTTTGGCTATACTTTAGTGTGCTGCAGCATCCACGTTGGCAATCACTGAACCACAACATTTAAAGAACCTCTTTTTTTGAAATCTAATTTATGTTTTTTTTTTTTATAGATTTAATTTGACATCCAAAGAACTTTTTGTAGATCATCCTCTAAATAAAGTGCTGCATAATCTTTCCCCAGACTGACTCAAATTTATGAAACCTATTTTAAATGTTCACAAAGCTACTTGAAATAAATATAAGATAAGATGTTTACTTTTTCATCTAAAATTTATTTAAATCTGTAAAATCGCCTAATCTTATTTCTAAAGAAGTATATTCATAGCTACATACTTAAAAATGAAGCAATTAAAATGTTCCATTTTTTTGAATTTTTATTTTTGACCGTAATTAAGAAAAAGTTTTTTTTTCGCAAATTAATCTACGTCAAATAGATAAGTATAAACCTAAAATTATTTTTTTTTGATTTCATTTCAGGTGACAGTCCAAATTCAAGGAGAGTTTTATTTGATTATCCTGCAAGTCCATACTTGTATGGAAATTATCATCATCCTTCGCCAAGCGAAGATTTGTTACTTTGGTTTGGCAGTACAAGTGCAGGTGAGTTCAAAATTGATAAAAATAAAAAGAATCGCATGTAAATGCAAGATTCAAAAACCTTAAGGCTAGGGAGGAACTTTCTGTACAATTCTATAAATAATTTCTTTTTCATGATTTTTGGAAAAGTCTGGGAGACATGAAAACATGATTTTGTGTTGGTAGATTACTAAGTTACTTCATCCCGAAAAATTAAAGCCCACTTATCTATCTGATTTTGATATCATCCTAACAACTGAAAAATATTTCTGTAATGAATGGAAATATTATTCTACATCAATCCGCTTATCAAAAAGTATGATTTAATTAATTTAATTTTACTAAAAATAATTAACGGCAATATTCTATAAGAAAAAGTCATTTAGAAGCTTTGAAGCTGCTAATTATATTTTCAATGATGAATTGCTAATCCTCATTATGTGAAACTTCTTTATAGTGTTTATTAACTTAATATTTCTTATGAATGATATTTCTGAATTGAAACGAGGCTCTGACACTCATTAGAACATTTTTACAAATTAAAAAAATCTGATGAATGACGAAATCTTAATTGAAGCTTACTCATCTATCATTATAATGTTGTTTCTATAGTTATTATAAAAATCCTGGAAAAGTCAATTAAAAACCAATTATTAATATTTTCATTCAAATCAATTTGATTGAATTAATAATTATCTACTTAAGTTCAATTCTTATTTTACTTTGTGAACAATATCAACAAAGTGTTGACTTGAAAGATAATCTTTTGCAAAGTTAGATCCTAAACCATCCAGAAACAATATTGAATTTTATTAATTAATGATTTCAAAGATTAAAAACAAAAAAAAAGTATTACTAAAATTTTATTGTTGTCTATAAAATTATTTTATTGGCCTCAGGATATACTATTGAGATTTTTCTTCTTCCTTAATTGTTATGTTTGCAAAAGTTATCCCTAGATGTACATTTAAAATACTAAGAAGAAGCCGAAGAGTCACCCAATCTACCCACATTTTCATACGTCAAAGTCACAAAATGTCAGTTCCATTAAACAATTCAGGAAACAACTCTAAATAGAAAACTTTTCATCTCCAAAGTTCTAAATGAGATTCTTCAAAATTTGTTATCTCATCCCAAGTTTTTAAGCTGTTCTGGCAAAAAAGAAACTTCCAAATATGCCCGATTTCACTTCCTAGAGCAGTTTTCAATAAAATAAAAAGTTATTTTAATATGCACAAATTGCTTCCAAAACAGGCAACAGAGATAATTTATAAATAAAATAAAAATTTGCGTTAGTTTTGCATATCAAAATATTAGCAGCAAAACTTTCAATTCAAAATGTGACATTGCATTTACTTCCTTAGTAAGTAGCGAGTAAAACTAAAAGCATAAATAACTAAAATGAATGTTTGAGTGCTGCAATATTATAAAGAAATGAAAAAAAAGCACATAAAAATGAAATTGTGACACAGGTCGTAAGAGAATGCGTGGGATGGCTTTATAAGAAAGGAGACATACAAAAAAAAATCTTGACTTTACAGCTTATTATCAATATCCAATGATACTGAAATTCGTATCTTTATTTTTATTTTTTTCATATACAAAACACTTATTCCATGAATGAACCATTATGTGGATCTTCTATAAAATCAAAGCATGTTAGGACCAAAGTGACTTTTACATGCTCATATAATCCATTATCCATATGTTCATCTTACAACAATTTTTTTAAAATTATTCTTTTACTCATTCATTCATTCATTCGTTCGTTCATTCATGTCTATGTGTGCTTACTTTACCATTCATTGAGACATACTGATGCCTACGTGCACATAAAAGTGTAAATACATCGCTAATTAAGTTCATTCATTTACAATTTTTCTTTATTTATTTACAATTTTTTTTTATTTATTTCGTTCATTCATTCACAAAACTTATACAACGACATTTGTTGAATGAAAAAAAGGCATCACACAGCCTAGCTATAATGTTATTTTTTGGGAACGTTCAAATGTGCTGTCAAATGTTACCATTTATGGCAAACTTAATAGTTCTTTCGTAGGTGTCTCTTTCTTATGCTATAGATAATATGCATCATCTTTTATTTTAAATGATTTTTTTAAAAAACATTTTCGAGATGATGAAAATATAAAGTCATTGAAAATGGGTTTTGTAATAAAATAAGAATAGATAGACATTTACAGATAATAAGAAAAACTTTCGATTTACTTAAATATTAAAATGTATTTTGAAGGCTTTCTCAGAATGGACAATGAAAATTTATAAAAAGTTCATAAAAATAGTTTATGGTTAAATACTTTCGATCTGAAAATGCACAAAAAATAAAAATGAATACTTAAGTCTTGTTTACTGTACGTTTAACAAGTACTCAAATTTTATTTTGAATTTAAGTAACTCTTTAAGATTGTTTAAGGAGTAAATTATTTACTTTTCTTGCATAAAAACTGTTTAAACGTTTTTCTTCTTAATAAAAGTTTGTTCCTCAACTTAGTTCATTGGAACCTTCAATTATTTGTCTTAAAGCTGATAAAGCTATTTAATTGAATTTTTACAAATATATATAATTTAAGCTTATTTGGTTTGTGAATAAAACATGATTTAAGAAATTATTGATGACCATCTGCTTGGGTTTCAGAAGCTTTATTCTGTCTTTTGATCACTCCTAAATAATATTTTCTATTTCTTTAAAAAATCTTGTCATCCTATTTATGAAGAAAGTATTATTAAAAACTATAAAAATTTGTTTTTTCATAGTCGTTATTAATGAACAATTCCCAATGATAAATATCATCTATAAAAACAATGTTTTGGCTGAAAATGATTTAGTAATGATCCTCAAAAGGAATTTATTTCAGGAACTTTGAAAAATATTTTAAAAGTAAAGTTCAGATCTAATTTTCAATTAATCTACAGAAGATAAAATCATTATGGTTAAACGAATTCGCTTTAATTAGAATAAAATTCTTGAAAATGATAAGTTTCAAAAAAAATTATAAAAATTCAAATATGAAGATGAAATAAATGTCGCGAGTCCAATAAATTTGAAAAATTATTTCAAATTCTATTTTTGATAATAACATTAATTTTTAATGAATCGCAAGAAAATTTACTTTGACAGATTTTTGCACTTTAACTTTTCTGATCGCAAAAATAATCAAAATGAAGGAATTTCTTATGATCTTTATGATACTAAGTTTTGATTTTAATTTGAGACATTAAAATCTTAATAATATTTGTCATTTATATTGACAATAATTTAAAAAAAAATTCCCACCAAAATTCTGTGGATTTGCTTTGTTGAATGGATTTAAAAATTCTTCCCATGAAAGTTCTATTCTACTGTAATGATTGTACAAAAATGAATATGAATAGTGCATCGGATAAAATAGCATTATTGGTAGTAATGAGATCTTGTTAACAACAATTATAATCTTTCCATTAATCATTTCATTATTTAGAAAAAAAAAAACTCCCGATCAGCACAATTCAACGTCTCTATACTGAGACGTCTGCCAAGAGTATGGAGCTTATCAATAGCATTTGAGCATTTTTAAAAGTTCTACATTATTGACATATGAAAAATAAATTGTCAATAATAAAAAAATAGCTGTTAACTAGCTGCTTGATTCCAAATATATATTGTTCATTTAGCCTTACGTATAGACAATATTAAAACATGTATCGCTCGGGAAATTTACATTCAAACTTGTTATTCATCTAAATATATTTTTACAATGACTTAGTGCTCCTAAGAACAACCAAGAATCGGTTCTTTTCTTCTTACATTTTTTAATCACAAATATCTGAAAATAAGTTTATTTTTGGTATAAAACAAAGAAGCAGTCTTTCTTTACTCAACACATATGTTTTCTCTTCAAAGCATTGTCCATACACCAATCACGTTCAATTTACCTTATTAGTAATAATTTTAATTCTTACATTTCATCGTCCGGTGCTTTGTATTGCTGAATTCTGAAGAATCATTCAAGAATATAAGTGAAAAAGAAAAGAAACTTTTTTAATGTGTCAAAATGAATGTTTTTCAGTAAAATTTTCATATTTTCATCATCATGAGTACTTCATCGCACCTATTATAATTATATTGAATAGAAGATTCAGTGTTGAAAGGAAATAGCTTTCAATACGACACAAAAGCAATCTTTCTTTTTCATTCTGTTTGACGAGAGAAAAAAAATGTGTTTATAACCAATTCAAATGTATTAAAAATCAGTAAGCTTAAGCTATTGTCGAAATGAATTGTTGCATAAATAAAAGACAGCCAAACACGCGAGTAAATGTTATCAATCATAAGTTGTAAGAGATTTAAAACGGCAGATAAGTGTCAAAATGATTGTTGATGAACATTACACACTAAAGCAACCAATTTTCAATTTTTATTTCTCTTCTTTGCGGTCTTTGTACTGCTTTTCTTCTTCTTTTAACTCTTAGCTCTTTACAATATTATTTTATTTTTATAGAACAGGCAAAAGCGAAGCTCAAATGATCGCGTGAACGATATACAAAAGATATTACTCAAATCTTTCTTTTTATTTTCATTATTTGACAGCATTAACAGAAAAGATTCTTGAAGAAATCTTTTAACATTTGGGCTCGTGTCTACAACGATAAATGCGTTAATTTTTAATGAGACTTGACTTTCTGATTCGGCATTTTAGAGCCTATAATTAGAGTCAAAAATGTGTTAAGAGGTATTTAGGGTGCTGATTTTTTTAAGAGAATCAATTGAATTGAGCATGACTCATTACTGTTGATAAAAGGTTTGCTTTAGACTTATGCTGAATTTGTTTTGATAATTGGAGTAGCAAAGGTGTAAAACTTGTGGTATTTGATTTTAAACATCGCAATATTAGCAGAAGCGCAATTAAACAATTTAAATTGTTGAAATCATTAAAATTATGTTTTTTAATAAAGTTTGTCAACTTAAAGTTATTATTAGATTTTAATTAATTAAATACGCACGATGGAGTTCATATCGGATGTTA